CTTAACCCCCCCCCCCCCATGTCCACCAAAGAGATAAGAAAACCATAAATAACAAGTTCTTTGAAATTTACTACTGTTAATTTGCTAAGCAAATAGTTAACTTGAAAAGACTTCTCGCTTTTTACAAGCAATCTTGGAACCTAGCCAGCCTTTATTTTAGCCTTTAAATCTACCCTAGCACTTCAAAATTTCAATTTAATACAGCGAATTTACAACCCAGGTAAGAGCAACTGATAGACAGAAATTTTTGTTAGCGAAGTGGGCTGATTCCTTCTGTAATGGCGAGCAAAAGACTCTGAGAACTGCTAGAGACTTTTGCAGCCCATCGTGGGTCCAGTCCAAAAGTTCAGCCAGATGAATTAAGAGAAATGCAAAATAAATCAAAGTAACTTTCACTTAACAGAGACCAGTTAATGAGCAGCCAAGACACTCTCTCAGTAGACTAGCCCAGACTGGAGCTGAGCAGATAAACAAAACAATGCCCAACTCCCCAGATGGGCGTGGGAGCGCTCCTGGCACACATGCCCCAGAACAGAATTCTTGACCAACGTCTTGGTGAGAACCTACCAGAGGAGTTAAAACTGCATCCAGTCCCCCTTCTCGGTAGCAAATTGGCTAGTCCCACACAAACACACAGCTGTTCACTCATACTTCCTTAATGTTTCAGCATTCATTCCAATTCCACAATCTCTATTGTACCCCTTTAAAATTTTCTAACATGTAATTAAGAACAGTAGGTTTATTTTGTCCTGAGCCCATGATGATCAGTGGTGAGAGACAGACAAGGGAAAGGGGTGACCTGTTTTCACAGATCCTCACTCAGATGCCCGCCTGGCTGCATCCCTTGGGAGCTTAGATTCGTCTTAGCTAAGGTGCACCCATATAAACCGTGGGCCTGGCACCTCCATGTGGGGGTGAGTCACCATTATGCCATATGACGAATTGCAGAACCGCAGGTTGGGGCCCACTTGGACTCCGTAACCGAAGTCATGGAGCCACACAAAGGAGAGGAGAGGGCAGGCCCCCTCCCTCCACACTCACACACTTTCACCAGACATTCACTCAGAGTTTAAACAATCCACTCAATTCCTAACAAATTCCAAATTCTAACAAATTCCAAATTCTAAAACAAATTCCAATTCCTGAGGGATTCCCAATTCCTGACAGATTCCAAATTCCTGAGGGATTCCCAAAACTTGAGGGAGCTCTATGGCTCCCCGGGAGGTGATCAAGCTCCCATTCCATTCACTCTGAGCAGGCCAGATGGTAGGGAATTGGGTCCCCTACCTTACAGAGTCTTCAGACAGATCCAGAAGTGTCCGTCCATGCTCTCCAGTTGCCGACCGGGTCCTTGGCGGAGGTCCGAAGTGCCTAGAGCTCCCCTGGTTCAATTCTGCTAAATCAGCAGAATGGTGCCTCCCCGGGGCCTATCCGGCTCCCCCGGCCCTCAAACCGAGTCCACACCAGAAGCCAAGAGGCCACGATGGGTGGTTCCCTGGTCTTCCTGAAATGGCAGGGAACCAATTATGTTACAGAAAAACTGGACAAGAACCAAACAGCGCTCTGAGAGTTTGGAGTTACAGTTTATTCACCGTGGTGGGCTTAGGGAAATGAATCCCAATTCTAAGCAAAACCAAGCAGAACTTCCGTTTTTATGGAAGAGCCAGCCCTTTGTGCACTTGCTGGCGGCGGCCTTGAAAACTACACAGTTCTATCAATTAAGCTTCACAATGGCACAAGTCCTGGCCCAGCCTGGAGCCCGGAGCCCCACAGGGCAGCCCAGTGGGTCCCAGTGGCTGAGGGTCCCAGGGGTCTCCCTGCCCTGCGGCCTCCCAGCCACAGCTGAGGGGACCCGGGCGCTGGCAGCGGGGGTGCCAGGTCCTGTGTCCCCACCACCTGGGAGCCCCACACTGGGCGACGTCGCCATCTTCTCTCACCAGCGTGACATGTCCTTCCTGTCCCTGCAGCAAATTTCCTGTATCAGCGTAAGTGCGAGTGTCATTTCGCCAATGGGACGGAGCGGGTCCAGTTCCTGTACAGAGACATCTACAACGGGCAAGAGAACGTGCGCTTCGACAGTGACGTGGGGGAGTGCCGCGCGCTGACCGAGCTGGGGCGGCCGGACGCCGAGTACTGGAACAGCCAGAAGGACAAACTGGAGCGGGCTCGGGCCTATGTGGACACGTTCTGCAGACACAACTACGGGGTGTTTGAGGGATTCTCGGTGCAGCAGAAAAGTGAGCGCAGGGGTGCAGGGAGGGTGTGGGAGTGGTGGAGTAGGGGGGGTGCGCGCACAGAGATGTGAGGAGCACCCATGGGGGTCCTGAGGGCAGCTGTGGGGACCCTGAGGTCCTGTCCTGTGTAGGGCGTTTCCAGGGGTGCCCAGGCTTGTGAGGGTTTGGGGTGCAGCGGGGAGGGAAGGGAGGTGGGAGGTGGGAGGTGTGAGGAGGGAGTCGGTCTGTCTTGGCCAAACCCCCCCTGACCCTGAGCCCTGGAATACGGGTGCTGGGTGCACAAGCCTTTCCCTGGGCAGAAGGTCAGGCTGGGTGTGAGGGGCGGGGCCTCCGAGGCACCTCTGGCCTCTCTGAGCTCCTTTCAGGTCTCAGTGTCTTGTTCCCCACTCAGTGCCCTGTGTTTACAGAGGGGGTGATGGGGAGCCAGGGCCTGATTGTAATTGTGTTACTTAACACACTGATGTCACATCTACACAGGCTGACAGCATTTAAGTAATTACATGTTAACTTTTTAGAGTTCTGACAAACTACTTTGCATTCTGTTTTGTTAAATCTTTTCCAATATTGCCAAATACTCAATTGAAAAATAGTTTTTTAATTTAAATTTATCCTTGTTTGATATCTAAGGTTCTTGAACAGTTTTCACGTACGTGTTGGCTAATGGCTGTTCCTGCTCTAAGAATGGCCTATTGTCCGTCATCCTTGGGGTCCAGGACTTGTTCTCAGTGATTTTCTGGGTTCTCCAGGCAGCAAGATGGACACTTTGCTAACATTGATTCAGCATTTTCTCCAGTTCCTCGCTTGTGTTTTCATTATGTTTTATTACATTCCATGTTAAGAATTTAAACATCTTTAAATAATGAAATGCACTCCGAAGTTACTAGCGATGACTTACCATCAATCTTAAATCTACCCTTGTGAGGTCCAGTAAAAATATTTCCCCCAAGTTTCTTCTTCTCCTCCTCTTCCTCCCCCTCCCCTTCCTCCTCCACCTCTTCCTCCACTGTCTCCTCTTCTTCCTCCTCTCCTCCGTTCCCTCCTCCTTTTCCTCCTACTCCAAATCTGTATTTATTAAGCATGGCCTCAGGCAGGAAGCACAAGTATTAATGAGTCCCAGTCCCAGCCCCTGCCCTGAGCTCAAATGTCAGCTTGAAGAGACAATTATAAAATGACAAGAATCCCAATAACAGGCCGGCTTCTTTAGAGAAAGAGCGGGCTGCTCAGTGAGTATCATTGTAAATGTTATAATGAGTGCTGCCCTGCTCCTCCCTCTCCTTCAGGACTCAGCCCCAGAGCTAGTGAATCCCCAGGCAGTCCTGCTTCCAGGGGAACCATCTCTGCGTTCTCGGGGGTGATCACATTCCCAGAACTTCACCCCCTTAGTCCCCATCTTCCCCAAGTGTTCCCCAGTTTCTCCCTCTGCTCTCCTTGTATTCTCGCCCCATATGTGGTAAACAGCTGACATACAGTGACGGCTACGTTCCAGCCGCTTTTGTACATGTTTCAGGCCCATTAATCCTCATATGTCCTTAAGCGCTGAGTTCGCATTATCACCCCCTTTGTAGGTGAGGAGCTGAGCAGAGAGGATCCCCCAGGATCACCCAGTAAGAGGCACAGCCTGGATGTGACCCAGGCAGCCCTGCTCCAGAAATCACACTGGAACTCACACACTCTGTGCCTCGCAAAGATTTGTAAACACTTCATTCAACAATGAGTAACTGTTTCCAGATACGAAAATTCCCCCAAATTTCCTCAACATCTCTCAAATCCAGTGGCCTGGGCTGTCGGAAGAGATTCAGGGCCCATGGCACTACCTCCTGCGGGGCCACAGGGTAGTTAAGTGGGGCCCTGACAGGGCCTGGAGCCCAGGACTGGAGACGAGGCCGAAAGGGAGCCACCCAGGGGCCTGCCTGTCCTGCTCACCTCTCCCTCCGCCTTCTCTGTCCCAGCGGAGCCCACAGTGACCGTGTATCCTGCAAAGACCCAGCGCCTGCAGCACCACAACCTCCTGGTCTGCTCCGTCAACGGCTTCTATCCGGGCCACATTGAGGTCCGCTGGCTGCGCAATGGCCAGGAAGAAGAGGCCGGGGTGGTGTCCACGGGCCTGATCCTGAACGGGGACTGGACCTTCCAGATCCTGGTGATGCTGGAGACAGTTCCCCTGCGTGGGGAGGTCTACACCTGCCAAGTGCGGCACCCCAGCAGGACCAGCCCTGTCACAGTGGAATGGAGTGAGATGCCCTCTGACCTCACATGCCTCCCCCAACAGGGGCCTTTGCTTGTCTCTGAGGGTCAGGGACCCCTCTCCCCACAGCCCGTTTTCCTTTGTGCCTGTCTCTCCTTCACCACAGGCCACAGGGTAGCCCTGTGATTGCTGCTGTGAACACCCACAGCCCTGGGAGGCCGCCATGCCTGCCCTGCTCTGAATTCCCACACTCTCCCCTTCATGGTGCCCCTGGTCCTGGGCACCATCCTCTGTGGGCTGGGCAGTGCTTCTGCCTGCGCTGAGCTGGCCACTGTGATCTGGAAAGAGGCGCGTCCTCCACAGCGTGGGGACCTTCCTGCCGCAGGAGAGCCCCGTCTGCTCTGCAGTCTGCGGCTCTGTCACCCAGGCCAAGTCCTGGAGGTCACCAGCCCCGGGCTCCGCAGCCTCAGAAGCCGAAGCAGTGGCCTTGGGTGGGGAGTGAGGGGACCTGAGGCCAGTGCCTGGGCCTTGTACCTGCTCAGTGTGACCTCAGTCTCTTTCCTGGAAATACTATTATTCTGCTTCTT